TTCAGGTTGAGGATGGGCTGCTCTGCAGTCCTGGGCTATGAAGAGCACAGACTGGGGGAGGCCTCACATGGTGAAGGACACAACCATGCAGTGTACACAGAGAGTAGACACAGGTCCACAATTCACTTCAACGACAACTTCTCAAGAGAACTTCGCTACTGGTGACACACGAAAGCTGTGCAGACGGGTGTGTTAAGGTGAAAGAAAATACAACTGTAACAGGGCAGCTGGTATTGAAGGACTTTTAGAAATATGCACACACCTCAGGACACAATGCAAAGGGCCCAACGAGGAAAGTACCACAGATGGAGTGGTGAGAAAAACAGGCTACACACACAGTGCAGAGATGTGAGGCTAGAGGTGAGAGTAGAAGCGATAAGTGATAGGGCTGAGAAATTGGTGACGTGTCAAGGAAGGGGAAAGATAGACAGAAATGAAGTGTGGCCCCAGGCATGGGATCAAAACACTAGTTCAGTCCTAACCGGTTTGGCTCAATGGATAGAGCTTTGGCCTGCAGACTGAAAGGTCCCAGGTTTGATTCCGGTCAAGGGCATGTACCTTGGTTGTGGGCATATCCCCAGTGGGGGGTGTGCAGGAGGCAGCTGATCAATGTTTCTCTCTCATTGATGTTTCTGACTATCTCTCTCTCTTCCTCTCTGTAAAAAAATCAATATATATATATATATAAAACAAAAACACTAGTTCAATACAGTAGGCGTCTGGTATGAGTTGAACACAGCACTGGCATCACACCTTCCTCCAGGTGCCATTCCTAACATTTTGCTGAGCCTAGATTCATATACATCCTGTGAACCACCTCTTTGTAACCTAACCCAACTCCCTCAGTGAGCACAGGCATGGCAACGTATACAGGTACTGAGGGAGGGACAGCACCATGAGTACCCAGCACTAGCCCAGAACAACTCAGCACATGACAGCCAATGGAAAAGAAAACCAAATACTACACAGAGAACTTCGAAGGAGGGTCTTGCAAGAACAGCTGCAGTCCATGGGAGGAGGAACCATGCCAGTCATGGGGATCCCTGGCCCAGGCAGGCCTGAGGCTATGTCAGCTGGAAGGAGGCAGCAGAAACTAGGTACACACAGGCCTGGGAGCTGAACAAAGTCATGCGGTCAGGGAGAAGTAAGTCAGGTGTATCCAGTGGGTTCACTGGAAGACTCCTGCCCTGATTGCTTCCTTGCAAGTCTGGGGCTCTTGAAGGAAGGAGAGGTTCATGCACAAACCTCAAACCAAGTAAGCACAGCACCCATCCAGGGGGTAAGCACAGCACCCATGCAGGGACCTGGGGAAGAAAGCCGTGCCTTGATCCTGGTGTGAGGACAGACCGGCTCCCAGCACCCATCCAGGGGTGTAAGCACAGCACCCACCCAGGGACCTGGGGAAGAAAACCGTGCCTTGATCCTGGTGTGAGGACAGACTGGCTCCGGGGGGAAAGGGAAGGGCAGACACTCCTGCCCAGGGCATGGGGGAAGTTTGAAAGCCTTACCCAGGGAGGCCATCAGGGCCAAGTTCTCCAGCATCACATCGTGGTACAGGCGTCTCTGAGCCTCATCAAGGAGCTCCCACTCCTCGGGGGAGAAGTACACGGCCACGTCCTCAAAGGTCACCCAGCCCTGTATGAGAAGAAACAAATCAGCTTTTCTGTCAAAGAACAGTTGAGAAGGCCGCCATGTTGGACTGTGTGGCTTGGCAGCTGCCATGTTGGCTGCATGACTTACAGCTCCCCTGGGGGCCCCCATCTTGAAACAGCAGAGCCCAACCCTCCCTTTGTATTAGCCAATCGTGAAAGACTGTGCGCCTGAGCGTCAATCAAGAGTAAGGGACAGGTCATGGGTGTCAGAGGTTATAAATCTGAGCAGACCACCTGCTGGGTGTACACCTGCATCCAGACCATGTGTCCCAACCATTCTTCCTGGAAGTAAAGATGTCTGCCTGCTGCCTGGCTCCCGGGTGTTTTGTGTTATACCAGGTCCCCTGACTTGGGGATCGCCTTTTTCTTTTCTTTTTTTTTTGGGGGGGGATCGCCTTTTTCTAACACCTGGTGGCAGGATGGGGGCAGCTGAAACCAGAAAAAGCTCCTGTACTGAGAACCCACAATCCCCCCCCACACACACACACACAAATGCACCCTGTGCCGTCCTCCTCCCAATGGCCCAACTCAAAGGACCATCCACGTCCTGGTGCCATTGTGGCCTCAGGGGCTCAGGGAGGACAATGTCCCTCCTGTGTTGTTTGTCCCCAGGAAGTGAGACCCGAAGCTTCCCAAACACTCAGCTCAGCTCTGCCCGAGGCCTGTGAGCAGCTCCCCCTCCCCCGCGGGTGTTTATGGGCTGAAGGCAACTCCAGCACCTGCATGTGGCCCTGGCGTGGGAGGAGGGTCCTGTGCCTGGGGTTCCTCCAGGCTCCCGGGGACCCCAGTTTGGGGACCTGCTCTCCAAATCCGAAAGAAGACGCTCCAGAGACGGTGAGGGTGCGGGTCGGGGACAGTGAGGGTCGGGGTCACGCGCCCCCTCCCCACTTCCCTGTGGTCGAACCAGCACTTCTGCAGCCGCGGGACTGGGGAGGGAGCTGGCCCCAGAGACACAGGGCCTCCCTGGACGCGGCTGGCCCCGAGGACCGGG